GGTTTGCTTTTTACCGTTTTTGAGTAACAAATTATCCGCTGTAATTTCCAAGATATGTGTAATTACATGTGACCAAAGTGCCTTGATTATATGAGGTAATTTCAGCAAATCGTGTGGTTCAGTTGACTAATTTATAATGACTGTTGACCAATTCATGTCCTCTTGTTGAAGTAATACTCCACAAACAAGCCAACAATGTATCCGAAGGTATCGATCTATGAGACATGAATTTACCGCATATCCGCTATCATCATTATCATCATCCTAAGCTGAATATTAATCTGTGACATTATGCTGCAAGTTTTTGTTTTTACTGTCACAGTTTTCGCATTGATGTTGTATTAGCCGTGTCACACGTTTAGAAGAAAGCAACTGGTGTATAGAACGTTGTATGAAGAATGTTATCCATCTATTCTACTGAACATTTCTCAACTCTTAATTGCATTTACTTATGAATTCTGAATTAATCCTCTCATATTATGTATAAATTTCTATGGAATTTCGTGCAAGTTATACAACCAACCAATTAATCTTAATGGAGGAAGAAATTTTTAAGTTTAGATTTCGTTTCCAATTGTGCTCATCACTCTATTACATCAATATAAAGTCTCCCGATAGTATGTTGATCATAAGAATTCATTGTTTTAGTTGGTTCAGCTTTCATACTGGACATATTTGTAAAGAGTTGTAGTGAAAACTTGGGAAGTGAGGTATATTGTTTGTTCACAAATTAGTTCATTATCAGAAAGACTTTCAGCTCAGTGTTGGATCTTCTTCCAGCTGTCATAAAAGACCGTGAGAATTTTTTGCATTCAGAAAACTGCTGTAATGATGAGCTAATTTTTCATAATTATTATGTTTCTTTAGGTACATTCTGACCACTAGCTGCTACCCTAACGTGATGAGGTGGTAGCTTGTCGTGATCTGTAGACCGATACCTCTCAAAATAAATGTCCCTGCAGGTCCTCCCTTGCATGAAAAGTTAGTTGGCTAGGAGTGAGACAAGAATCGAATATGGGAATGGGTTTGGACGGAAGTAATTTGTTTTCCTCGGAACGAAAAGCAGCTACCTCATCCAATACCATGATCCAAACAAATTCACAAAATTTCATGCCGGATCGGCCGTGGCCCGGATTAACAACGACCGCGCTTCCTGCTGCCGTGTCACAGGGCGGGAGTGATAAGTATGCTACTGAGGCACACAAAACAACAAAGAACGAACAAAAACAGGCCGCGTGTGACCGGCCTCAAGCAGTTGTCCCCTGGGCTCTGCGGTCACGCAACCAACTTCCACGGTGTGGGCAGCCGGGAAGTAACAATCGCCCTCACAATCCAAAACGCACACAAAACCTCTCTAATCCTCACTTATCTTTGTCTTCATCTTCATCTCTATTACCTTACCTTCCCCCAGTGATGCAACTCCTCTACTTGATGGCTCCTCACTCCCTCTTCACTCTGTGTCCACTAAAAACGACGAAAGCCAAAAAACCACCACGGATAGTCTCCTAAAGCCACGCCACCAATTTCATATAGGAGCATTTAATGTAAGGACACTTTGCCAAATAGGACAACAAGCATCACTAGCTAAGACCCTGGCATCTCGAGCCATTGATGTATGTTGTGTTTCAGAAACACGCATACAAGACCCAAGTGTGGTTATTCACCTAACCCCACCTGGCCAACAGGATGAATCTTCAAAATTCACCTTGAGGGTGTCAGGAGATGCCACAGCTAGTTCACGGGGATTAGCTGGCGTAGGGATAGCTCTGAGTACTAGGGCAGAAAAGACATTGCTTGACTGGATCCCAGTAGATAGCCGAATGTGTGCTGTCCGTCTGAACGGATCAGTAAGAAGGAGAAAGGACTGCACTACTCGCCGATGCCTTTTCGTAATCTCCGCCTACGCCCCCACTGACTGCAGTTCGGATGAAACGAAGGATGAGTTCTACCAAAAGCTGTCTAGTTTGGTGAGAAAGGCTAAACGCTCAGATATAGTCGTTCTAGCTGGTGACTTCAACGCTCAAGTAGGGAAATTGTGTCAATCTGAGAAGGATGTCGGTGGCACCTATGGAGTTCCGTGCCAGCGAACCGACAACGGTGACCGTCTCCTACAGTTCTGTTCAGATAATCATTTGTTTCTTGTAAGCACTAACTTTAAACACAAGGAGAGACACTGTTTAACCTGGCGACCCCCATCATCAAACCAACGCTGGACACAAATAGACCACATAGCAATAAGCTATCGTTGGCGTGGGTCGGTAGGAGATTGTCGCTCCTTCTGGAACACGTGTGTAGATACCGATCACGCACTGGTCCGGGCTCGTGTGTGCTTACGACTGAACGGACGTAGGAAACAGCTGGCGGTAAAACCATCACGCCCCCAGCTCGATCAGGAAACTAAATCCCTATTTGAGGAAGAACTAGCTAAACGCATATCTGAATCGACAGCTGTGCTCACCCTGGAGAAGCCTGGAAGAATATTCAGTCAGCTATAGATACAGCTGTAAAAGCTGTGAATAAGGCAAATCCAAAGGTGAGTAAAAACCACTGGATTTCGACTGCCTCATCCGAACTGATAGATGCTAGAAGACTTATTCCGGCGAGCTCCGAATTCAATGAGGAGCGAAAGCTGCACAAAAGGAAACTTACTAAAAGTCTCCGCAAGGACCGTGAACAGTGGTGGGTGACAAAGGCGAAAGAGATGGAAAAAGCATTGGCGATAGGCAACACTAGGCAACTCTTTAGACTCATCACAGAATCGGGCGGGAGAAGGCAATTCATAAGTGAGACTATTTCTGAGAAAAATGGCTCCTTAATTAGCTCTCAGGATAGACGCCTTGAACGCTGGAAAGAACACTTTGAGGAACAATTTAACTTGCCTACAGCCACACTGAACCTCCCCGCCATCCACCACGTACCCGAATGGGATATAGACACTGGTCCGCCGTCTGTAGGTGAGGTTACAAAAGCTATCAGTAATTTGAAACGAGGCAAAGCGGCAGGACCCGACGGAATTATTCCGGAGGTGTTTAAATATGGGGGTGACATACTAGTTTGTAGATTAACTGAGGTACTAGGCAAAGTCTGGGAATCAGAGACAGTCCATCAGACTGGGGTAAGTCACTTATTATACCGATATTCAAGAAGGGAAACAAGTCCTCGTGTGATAATCATAGGGGGATCAGCCTAACGAACATAGTCTCTAAAATCCTAGGCTCAGTAATCATGCATAGACTAAGCAGAACTCGGGAGGAACAGACAAGGGAAAATCAAGCAGGCTTTAGACCAGGTAGAGGGTGCATAGATCATATCTTCACTCTTCGACAGATTCTAGAACATAGACACACTTTTCGGCGTCCAACAATTGTCATATTTCTTGACTTGAAGGCGGCCTTCGACTCCGTGGACCGAAAGGTACTATGGCAATGTCTGACTGTGAAGGGAGTGCCAAGAAAGTACATTGCACTAATCAAGGCACTCTATTCAAACTCACGTAGTCGTGTAAGGGCTTATGGGGAATTGTCATCTGAATTGGTAACAACCAGTGGTGTCCGACAGGGATGTCCACTTTCCCCATTTCTGTTTAACTTCATCATAGATATGCTAATGGAAGTATCCTTAACTGAACGTAGTGACTTAGGAATCGACTTGTTACCAGGGAATAATCTTATGGACTTAGAATATGCAGATGACATAGTCCTGTTAGGGGAGGATGCTGACAAAATGCAGAGTCTTCTGAACACCTTGAGCAGCAATCTTCGTATGTTTGGCATGCGATTCGCCCCTGCAAAATGTAAGATGCTGCTACAGGACTGGACACGTCAACCCTAACTTAGTGATAGGGAGTGAAGTGATAGAACATGTTGACCACTTCACCTACTTGGGAAGTTGTATTAGCACCAACGGACTGATTGGCGATGAAATCTCAGCACGGATCCGAAAAGCTCGAGCTGCTTTCGCTGACTTACACCATCTCTGGCGTAGGCGTGACATCCGGTTATCAACCAAGGGACGTGTGTACTGCTCATCAGTTCGCTCCGTCCTTCTCTATGGCTCTGAAACATGGCCAATACGCGTTGAAGACATGAAAAGGTTGACTGCTTTCGATCATAGATGTCTGCGATCTCTGTCTCACGTTAGGTGGTTTCACAAGATAAGTAATGTTGACGTTAGGCGTAGAGTGTTGGGCAAAGAGGGAAAATCAATCGACGAGGTTATAAAGTTACATAGACTAAGATGGCTAGGTCACGTGGTGCGCATGCCTAACCACCGCCTCCCCCGACGGGCATTGTTAGCTGATATAGGTTCAGGTTGGAAAAGAGCCAGTGGTGGCCAAACAAAAACATGGCATCAATCCATGAAATCCTTGACAGTTAAACTGAGTCAGGTAGGGAGATGCAGACTCCCGGGTTGGGGCCCTCGGGACTCTAGGAATCAATGGCTGGAGACAATAGGTGACATGGCTCAAAATCGTTGTCAATGGCGCAGATGTATTCAATCTCTGTAATCTTTCATATTCCTTTCTACCATTACCCATTCTGTTTCACTCTTATATTTGTCAAACTCTATTAATTCTCTTCACTCATCTTCTTGTCTACCTCTGTGTGCTATTTGGAACGTGGCAACTCGAACTGCTGCACTTCGGTGCCAAGTTCTATGTTGAATCCAGACAGACAGACAGACAGTATTCTGTGTGTGTGTGTGGACAGGATTTCAGAAATTCTGTCACTTTCAAACAGGCCATTGGTTGCTAGCTTCAAGAAGCTGTTACCTGAAGTCTTTCAGCCACGTAAAAAAATCCTTTTTCCTTTTCAGGAACTCCAATACGAAAGTAATTCAAACTCTACTGACGGCTAGAGCAAATTTTGACTTTCTTTTTTTCTTCGTTACATTTTTACATAGTGTGAATAAATAAATACGTGAATAATCGTTTTATATTGCTATTTTATTTATTTCAGCTTTCACTGAAATTTTTTTCTTCTATTCACCAATCATTTTAGGCCGGAGAGGACGTAGATATAGATGATTTTCGCAATTGGAATCGTTTATCACTGCAGTCTATTGTGACAGTTTGCCCCGAACTTGTAGGGCAACTTCGAAATGCTCTCACTGCACTACCTCTTCCAGCTCCAGTTTCTAGATCTGTATCTTTGTCTTCATCGCGTTCATTGACACCTTCACTCAGTTCCACATCCAATGAACCAATAGCTACTGTCGCTCAAGTTGAATCAGTTTTCTCCTCTTTGGGTTGTTTGTCAGGTAGTTGCCTGCAAGAAGGGTAAGTATTTTTAGAAAATAAAAGGTATTTCACTTCAAAGCAATATATGGAAGTTATTTAGTATGCTGAGTTTGATAATATGTGATGTTGGTTTGTTATGCGTAATTATTCATTTATTATGCATTTGAATTTAAGCTTGAGGTGATATGAGTGTTATATGTTGTTAATATCCCCCTGAATTTGGAGTCGAACACAGAACGTCAGCAGCAAATCTCCATTTCACTTGGTTCTCTGCAGTCTTTTTCAGCTGGATCTATGATCATAAGTTTCCAGACCGTAGATGTTACAAACTTCCTGGAACAATTTGAGCGCTGAGTCAGGTTGATTCACTATAAATTATTTAAATTAATCCCAGCGGATTTTATTAATGATTAATAAAATCCGAATAATTCTACTGAAAAAGCTGTGACTTACACAGCGAAACGTTCAGGAAAATCTTGATTTTATTTTTTCTTAAACACGCTGGGATTAATTTAAACAATTTATAGTGGCTCTATGATTCCCCATAAAATATTACTTTCTTTGCACATTATCTCCCCCATGTAGCTCTCGGAGTTCAACTCTCTATTTCCCATCAGCGTTCTACTCGAGGGCCTGGTGCTCAATGTCACTCAAAGGTCTTCTCAGCCGGCATTCCATATCCCCATGCTTATTTTCGCTTTCTTCAAAACAATGCACATCGCTCATTGGATTCCCAAATGCAAAAAGTTTTACCAGCACTTATAATTTCTTCTCTCCGATCCCATCAAAGAATAAGTTTAAAAATTTTTTTCTGTGCTTTGAAGTTTCTGTAACGATCAGATTGATTTTTCGGAGTAGAGTCGCTAGTCCCACGCCAAACATCCCCTTCTTTTGCGGACTTAGGATCTGTTATTAATGGCCAAAATTAGCTCACGTCATTTACACGTGGAACCTAAGGATGAACTTGATGTGAGAATCTACATCACAGTGAAAAATAGAAGTTCAATTCATGTTATGGGTATAGGTCACTTAATACTGAAAACACTGTTGTATTTTTACTTCGACAACAACTTACCAGTTGGACGTCGATTAGCATAAGAAGTATCTTTATTCAATATCAGTTGACAAAATATTGAAGATATTTCTCACATGTAAAAACTGCTTCTTAGACCTTCAAACACGATCGACCATATCACTGTTCACTTGCTATGGCGATAATATCTGTCTCATTATATTCTCATTGGCTGTAAAGGGAATGCCGAGAAAATACATTGCACTGATTAAGGAACTCTACTCGTACTCATGCAGTCAGCCAGGTGAGGGCTTACGGCCAGTTGTCATCTGAACTGGTGAAGACAAGTGTTGTCCGTCAAGGATGCCCATTATCCCCATTTCTATTCAACTTCATCAAAGATGTACTGATGGGCTTAAACCTCACTCACTTCAGAGACACAGGGGTTGACCTGCTACCAGGGAATAATCTTGTTGACTTAGAATATGCAGATGATATAGTCCTTCTAGGCGAGGACGCTGGCAAAATGCAGAGTCTTCTAAACATCTTGAGCTGCAATCTACGAAGGTTTGGCATGCGATTAGCTCCCACCAAATGCAAGATGATGTTACAGGACTGGACTACACTGACTCCTAGTTTAGAAATAGGAAGTGACGTGGTAGAGCACGTTGACTGCTTCACTTATTTGGAAAGTACCATCAGCCAGTGCCAACGGGTTGATCTCTGACGAAATCTCAGCACGAATACAGGGGGCTCGTTTCGCATTTGCCAGTTTACGCCGACTCTGGCGTAGACGAGATGTTCGACTATCGACCAAAGGGCGGGTGTACTGCTCATCAGTCTTCTCCGTCCTCCTTTATGGCTGTGAGCGAGACCTGGCCATTGAGAGTGGAAGACATGAAAAGGCCAGCTGTCTTTGATCATAGGTGCCTGTGCTCTATCTCCCGTGTGAAGTGGTATAATAAGGTGAGCAATATTGAGGCTAGGCGTCGAGTTCTAGGTAAGCAAGGGAAATCAATCGACGAGGTTGTGAAGTCACATCGACTGAGATGGTTAGGATATGTGTTACGTATGCCTAATCATCGCCCTCCTCGATGGACAATGTTAGCTGATATAGGGTTCAGGCTGGAAAAGAGCTAGTGGCGGTCAAACCAAAACATGGTACCAGTTAATGAATTCCACAACAGTTAGTCTAAGCCACGTAGGAAGGTGTAGACTTCCTGACTGGTTAGGGTCCTCAGGACGGTAAAATCCAATGGTTGGAAACAATTGGTGATATGGCTCAAAATCGTTCCCAGTGGCTGGTGCAGATGCATCCACTTCTTGTGACTTATGATTTCCAATGAAACTGTTTTGTTCTTCGTTATTACTCTTCCTTTGTCTCACACCTCTGTTTCCTGTCTCTATTATGCATTTCTTCTCTTGCTTTGTTTGCTACATGGAGTGTGGCGACTCGAACTGTCGCACATATGTGCTAAGTTCTATGTCGAAGACAGACGGCATTGTTAACAGATCCAGTGCATCATGTAAAGGCGAAATTCTTCATCTTTAATCCTGTCTGTCATTAAATATATAGCTATCTGGTACTATGAAATTGTAGAGTGTGAAGCACCAAGTGTTTCTAATACTTTCCTTTATGTTATATTCCACTGTGCGTAGCATTAGGTGGTTGTTACCTTCCCTCCTTTCGGTGTTGAATCTTGCTTTGGAGGAGATCGGTTCTTACTACATTTGAGCTTTAGCTACTATTGGTGATGTCATGATAGCCAGTTACTGACTCTCCAGTTGACTATTTTGACGGTCCTCATGCTCTCGAAGATCGCGAGCAGTTCTACGCTGTGTCTTCTGGTTTCTTCGGCTGGCTGCATAGTGTTCTCAGTTTCGTACATTCTAGGAACATTCCACGTCCCAAACCCTATTTCGCCTTCATCGAAAGAAGAGACATAGTCAGACTGGCTTCCTGAACTTGGGCTTTCACCAGTCCGCCTCATTTCGCCTCTTGGATTCCACTGAAAAGTAAGTTTGGTCTCAATGTTTTCGACGTTTTAATGGTTTTCCTGTGAGTTAAAGTTTCTGTAGCAGTTTGATTAGTTTTTCGGGGTAGATTTGCTGTCTTCATGCTTAACCCTCCTTCTCTTCCCTTGCCTAGAACCGGCTGCACAACCAGAGAGCTGGTGCAATAGGCGAGGTTTGTTGCATGTATAATTATCAATACAATAGGCGAATGAACAGGTGGAGTAACTAGAAGACAGTGATGAAAAACGGGTTTATATTTATATGCACTGATAATATGGGATTTAGAGGGATGGCTCATTTGGGTTCATTCCCTGGGTCTCTTTATGATTGCCTCCGCGGACAGTGCAGTAGTTACTACTGCTGGTAGACAGTCCAAGAGGTCGAAATATCTAAAATTAAAGAAGTGGGAACCCAGTCAAGTCTTCACTCTCTGACTTTTTATGTTTTGTGGGTTGCCAAGAGGAATTCCTCACCTAATTCCTGGAAAAATACCTTTTTTGGGTGATTTTGGTGTTTTTTCCACTTATAGGCAGTAAATAGGTCACTCCCAGTCTGACGGCATCTGAGTGTGAAGAGACAATTTTTTCAGTCTTTCATCATCCAGTTTGGTTCCAATGTTTTTGGCTTTTTAATAGTTTTCTTGTGCGTCGAAGTTTCTGTAGCAGTTTGTTTGATTTTCCGGGTTAGAGTCGTTAGCCCGACTCTTAACCCTTCTCTCTTCCGGGCTAGGAACCAGCTGAAAAACTAGCAAATCAGTAAACTAAGAGATTTTTTGACTTAGGGTGTATAGCGCTAAAAGGATACCAGTAGGTGATGGTTAGGCGTATGACGAAATATATATCAGCCACTTCTTCCAGTTGAATAATTCTTTTCAACTGTGTGATCGCATGGATAATTATTCTTGAAGCTTTTGCTAAGTTCCTGTTTGCAATATGGTTATCTGTGTTGTATGAGGCTAAATTTCTCTCTTCCAGCGTTCTAAATAAACCTTACTGTTAATTCTTAAACTTTGATAAATTCCACCGTTAGATATGATTACGAATTTCGCTGTTTTAAACAGTTGTAGATTTTAATGCTACTCTAGTCCTACTTAACGTTGGTGAAGAATTCGAGGTAAGATTAGTAGTAGTAGGATTAGAAAAAGAAGCAGAATCGATTCTTTTATGCCTATTGAAAGTTTCGAATTTTCTGTGAAAGGTGTCACTTACAGTTAACTGTGTTTTTTGTTCTCCTGATGCACTTGCTAGATGGATTCTCCTCGATGGGTCTTAAGTGAATGAACCAATATGGATTATTACTATGAACGTGAAGAGTTTCTTTTAAGGCATACCGTTTCATTCGGTAAATTTTGTAACGTTGTATTTAGGCAAAATTTTGGCTAAAGCCACTTTACTCAGTTTTTCATTATATCTTTCTGAGTTTCATTTTTTTCCGACAGAATTTTTCTTGTCAGTCCGTTATCTTCTGCAGTGTTGTCAAGTGAGAAACACTGCTGAGTAATTAGCAGTTAGCAGCTAATCTGAACACTGCGTTAGGTAAATCATGACGACCGGAATTCCGAGTTGTCAAGTTCTCTCGTTGAGGATAAAATTGGTAAGTGATATACTTGAACAAATCCAGAATTATTTAAGGGATTGATTTAGTGCATACCACCATGGTTCTAATATGTACCAATCAACATTCTAAGCATTTTGTACAATGTTTTCCTTCACGATGTATAATCTACTTATTAGTAGTAAAAGACGTAAGACGCAAATTTTAAACCTATCACTATGTGTTCTATTTTTGTTTCTTAAAGGGAGCAGAATGATCATTTCCGAACAGGTCGAGAAGATTTTGGTGTCGATTTAGATATGGCTCACAAATTACAGTGTCAAATTTTTCACATTCTACCAAGAAGGGATTTACGACGCCTGATTAATAAATTAATGGACAATGTCTTGATTGCATCACGCAATAACTATCCAAGTATAGAATGCCTTCGAGGTTTGCTGTTCCTTGCTGTATCTGACCTAATGAATATGCCTAGAAAACCAATCAATGATGATTCGATTATTACAATGCATAGTTTAGATGCGTCATCGGGACTTGGTACAGAAGTCGAACCGTATCCTGTTTTAAGCGCGGGTTTCTCTCTTCCAGGTCTGGTTTTAAGTGCCTACACTGTCGCTGTCAACAAACTTGACCCTGCTCCTTCGAAAATACTAGGTAGTTTAAACCACTCCTTAATTTATATGCTTGCGTCTGAAAATATATTTTCTTTGTCAGTTTTACTTGAAAATTTTAAACGTGTCGAATTTAACTGGATAGTTGTAAGTCTGTAGGAATGTTATTTTAGATATGATGGAGAAGATTTGTAGCTCAGGTGGATGATTTTGATGTATTTGTGTTCTCTGAGCCGGTTGTTTTACTTTTGAAGCTTTCCCTGCCTTATTAAGCAATAAACATAGAACACAACTACACCAGAAAAAGGAACGTTATTTTCTTTTGAGAGTTTATTGTAATATACTCTGATTCGTTCCTCGGAGACCACAAGTGGAGTGACGGAATTTGTAGTATAATTTTGCCGAAGCATAATAGATCCTTTTAAGGTGTCTGTCAGTTGGAATGGAATATACAGGAGCGTTCAAACATTATTGTTCATGTCTGGACTGTGGTGACTTTCTTGTGAAAATTTCTTGTAGCTTAAATTCATTTACATCGTTGCAAATGAGTTCCTTCATTCGCCGATAAACTCTTAACGCCTTATTCTTCTGTTCGTTTTCTCCTCACCACTTCTCATGTCTCGTGCAAGTTTATTTTGGTTGTCATTTTGTTTCTGTGCTGTCGTAAAATATGTAGACATTAGTTAATTGGTTTTAATATCGCACTCTATGCCATACCTGTCTGTGTTTTACCGTTTATTGCAAAGGGGTACAATAAACAAAACTGTTTGCATTTATTCTTCATTTTCTTGATAAGCAGGCTGCAGTTCGAATGGATATGAAATCCTAAACTCTGTTGCCACAGTGATGGATAAATGTTTGTCATTTTACTGATTTGTGTACTAGTAGTTAGGATGATTTGTGCTTGTATTTTATACTTTTGAAATAATTAAGGATGATGACCAGCTAAAGTTGGAAGATATGGAATTCCCCAAAGAAATACTACAACGAAACTTTCTAGTATTTAGTTTCACTGGACATTGCAGTAGTAATCAAGAGATAATTGATAAAGGATATAGTCACTGTTCGAATTAAAATTCTGTATCTATCTCAGAAGGAGTTCATTTTGCAGGTAGATCTGTAAGGTCAAAGTTTGTTTGTTTATCGGCCTTTTAAGTAACCATGTATGAAGAAGTGGCTCGTTTGCTTGAACACAATCTTCATTTATACCAAACCTAATCAAAATTTGTCCAGATAGTTCCTCACTACTTGGTCGCCGAGTAAAAAGTCGACATGTAAAAATTATATATGTATAAAACCGAGCGAAATTAAAATAAATCGATAAATGATTCTAACGTTTCATTCGCCAAACTGGTCCGAACTTCTTCAGGGAAATAATCAAAATTAAAATTAAAAAAGAAGGTGTACTTAGGTAAAAGGACACATCTGTCTAAAATTTTTTGTCTCATCATGCCTGAGTCATGGATCGTCATGAAAAATAAAATAATCAAAATTGTATCAAAATGTGATCAGTATTGGACCGGATAGTTACACAAAGTTATTATTAGTCTATTTTGTTATGCAGTGTGTACTTTTACATCACGCTTCAGTGACAATGTTTGGAAAAATAGTTATGGTTTTGGAAAACTGACTTAGGAAAATAATTGTGTGATTTACAATGATTTAAAACAAACAACAAATATGAAAAAACAGTATTTAGTGAATTCATTAATTTCCTTAGGACTCGTCAGCTTTGTTTTTTTTTACGCTCCCCAGTGGAACATGGGTCTTCAAGCTAGTGGCTTGAAGATTCTGTAGTAGTGTTTATTTTACAGGATGGAATCGCCAGCCTCATGCCCAACGTTTCGTCTTTACCAGGATTATTTCGGGCTTAGCGAGGTAAAGGAGTGCACCGACCGGGGATCGAACCCCGAACCACGTGCATGGTCGGCGATCGTCCTAACCGCTATGCCACTGACGCACACTCTATAAATACTGTCATTTATAGTTTTCTAAGGTTGAATACGTACAATCACCTGAATATTGAAGCCAGCGTAATCAGATTAAAGCAGCCACATCTCTGTGTACAAAAGGAGACAGTAATTAGCTTAAATCTACGTTTTTTTAATCTTTATTATATTCCCTTCTTCTGCTCTTTACAATGTTTTTCCATTTTTATTATTATTATTGTTTTATCTGACAAACTGTTAGTTTCCTTAGGATACGTGCAAATCGTTGAGTACTAATCGTGGTGAGGAGTATTCAGACTATCTTATGAAATTAAATCAGACATGCTAAAATTTTGTTCTTAAGTTCAGCGTATACCTTACGTATGCTGAATTTATTTACGCTTTTTTACGAATTTTACTTTGTGTATCATATATATATATAGTTGTATCAATTCTGCTACAATAACTCCAGTTTATATATTAATATGTGCTTTGATATGTGCTTCACCTGATTGTGACGTTAACAGATTATCACTCATTACTCAGATCAAATATTTATTAAAATTCATCTTTATTTATATATGTCCAAACCAAGTTCACTTTTAACGGTTTGAAAAAAATTTGGGCATTGGGTATGATATGATATTCATTATAATAAAGGTTTTTTGTAACAATGTTCATACGCTTTTATGCAGCTAATCTTAAAAAATGTATAAATAACAATGTTTATATAGTATTCGTCTGACAAATCCTACCGAAATTTATAAATTCATTAAATACTACTTCTTCACAGTCGTTGCTTATTTTAATTGTACTATGGGAAAGAAATGTTTTCAGTTTGAGCCATATATCCTATAGTTTCCGGCCAATTGGTTCTTATAAGCCAGACTATATTAGCGCTTTTAAGTATAAAAGATATTTTTCTGGGATGAATATTCCGCCAGTTAACAATTATGTGTAGAAGCTTGTTCAAATTAGCAAGGAAATAAATTAGAAGTTGTATTCAACCAACTTACCCAATTATTTATAAAGTAGGTAGACCTACATGTAAACTTGTTACTAAGTCAGCTGGTGGATGGCGCCTAGCAGTGGAGTCTAGAATGCGCATTTCAGCCTATTCGGGATTCGTCTACTGGATGTACCTGCTGAGACAGAGCACTTACGTCCAGTCAATCGACCAGGAAATCTAAATTGAATTAAATAATTGTTGCGGAAGAATTGTAAGGGTCTTCAGTCGCATTTGTCGTCAAATGATCAAATAACTTACCATGCTGGAGACTTTTTATGGTATTTTCTGTGTTTTGTTTTCTATTTTTTGCAGACCGATGGTTTACAAAAGTGCAACCACGTTATCTGAAAAAATTAGTATTGGTAGGTTGATTTTATTCAACATTAATGCGGGATGTGTAGAATCCGTAATATTTTGTGTTTTGTTCTGTCTTTTTTGTGAATAATTTGATCCTTGTAAAAAGAGTATTTGACGACAAATAATGTTATCTTTGGATCACTAAAAAATATCGTCACTTAAGTATACGTACTAAAAGGCTTTCATGTCTTGTACCCGGAGCATAAATTACTATCGATATTATGCACCAGACTTCCAGTCTGATTAATTTTTATTTAGACCATACATTCATTGGAATTTTACCGGTCAGATAAAAAGAAGAAATCGGGTAATATCAAAGTAGATTTTATATCACTAACACTCACTGGTTAAACAGAACCAGCAGAATTTAAACTCTTAATTCCTCTGCCTACTTAATAACCATGAAGTAGTAACAGTGTAAAATACTTTTCTTTCTTAGCTGTTTTACATGGGAAAACAGATTTCATAGTGAGACAGCAAACTATGAGTCCTCATCATTATTTTTGTGTACAGAGAGAGTGGGGAGTACGACTTTCACTGTAAAAATCTGAATATATATATATATAGCTGAATTTCTCCACACTTTTGCATCATCTGACCAAAAGCTTCATAAGATTTCTTTACCTATATATTGCAACATATCTCTGAGCTTTGACAATTTATACCCTTTATACTATATCAATAGGATGCAATTGAACCAATATGTGATCAGAATTATAATCTTTGCATAATTCATTTTATTCTGTGATTCCAAAACGGCAGACTGAACCATTAATCGATTGTATTCATTGTCTAACTAATAGACTTTATTAGATGGATCAATGTATTAGATGTCTGGCTTTCTTGAATCGTATTCATTCTTTTGCTATTGGTTGTTATATATGAATAGCTGTTTTTTTGTTCCAATTGGTGAATGTCGGGATAAACGTTGGTACCAGTAAGGTTGATAATAATTCATTCTGCACAGATTGACAGTTATTATGGAGTGATTACTGTAAGGCATAGATTCACTGGATATGGCTGCTACTACTATGTTGACAATGTTCACTATGATGATGAACATTTGCTTCATGAATCAACAAGTCCCTTTCAATAAGAGCAAACACGAACGTTATCTTTTTTGGCTCAATGTTATCATATCCTACGTTTTAAAATAGTTAATAGTATTAATTGAATACTTTTAGTAAGTTGAGGTATGAGTGAAATTCCCACAGTAACACTAGGCTTAGTGAAACACTTCCATTTAAGTAAACCTAATGTATTGTATTTTTTCATACTATTCTCCACTTTCCTCTTTGTTTTCATGCTTGTATATAGAATCTCAACAATTTAATTTCATACATACTGGACGCGCAACCGCCATCTGCAGATAGTCAGGTAAGCTAAACCAGCTGGTGTAATAGTATTGTTATGGTTAGTTTCGACTTCAACCTAGATTTCACTTTAAACGTTTTTATTTCACAATTGAAATTCGAGTTGCAAAATTTTCACCAGTATGATTTTAGGAATGATTTCGTAGTGTATATAATAATAGTAATAATAATCTGTAGTTTTAGTGTTTTGTCGTGGGAGATTTTCATGGAAGTGAAGATCGTATCTTGCCTTTGGCTTGTATGTGCACGTGAAGTTAGATGTGAACAAACTGCAACTCCAGTCTTCCCAATTTCTATTGTGTTAGGAACTGTTTTCATCCCAAGGGAAATACACGGGGGAAAAACATCATCGTAGAACTTTTCACAAATTCACATTGTTCTAAGTTGGCTTACCTCAGAAAATTATACATAAAAGTACGGGAAAAATGCTTCTGCAATAGCCAATGACGTCCATGGCTTTATATCATTCTATTTCTCTCTTTCCAACCTAATTATAATCTGGTTAACCATTGCTTACCGTTTCTCTTGTTTGGTGCACTACGTAATAAAATTAAATTGGATTTAGAACAAAAGTAATGTTATCAAGATGTTACATTAGTCCTTGAAAGCTTTATCTTTTTTGTCTGAATCGTGCAAGAAAATATTTGTCATCAGTCATATTATGTTTCTTTTATCCTATCATGCCTGAGACTTACGGCTATCATCTACCACTGATTGAGTTTCGACCCACTGTGTTTTTATCGTCATAAAAGAGGATTTTAATAGAAATCGCAATTTACGCTAATAACTTCAGTACTTGTCATGATTAATGATTACATGTAAATATGATAGAGAAGATTTGTAGCTCAGGTGGATGATTTTGATTACATGTAAACATCATATGCGTGGGATGTGACAACCAAACGTGGAGGAGCGAAATTTGGACTGGAATTATTTTCTAGTGCATACATATCTATCTGTATGTTTCATACCAGTTTCCTTTCTTTTCTTTTTGCAGCGCAAATTGAAAGAAGAAAGTATTCGCCAAGCACTGGAACTCATGAAGCGCCTACACAGGGTAAAGTTCTATATATATATATATACTTTTGCCCGATCAATAAAACTTTCGTCTTTCGTAATTTTTAGTGAAGCGCAGTTTTACGGCGTTTAGTCAGGATATGCGAATGATAAAATCCTTTAGGCTCATACAATACTGTTCCTAATTTCTTCGTTTTTACCTTTTAATTTAGTTAAGAGGCTTTTTACCGGCACTGATGTGATTCAGTAATCACCAAATAGCCTATCCATCATTTGTACTTTCCTTCAGAAACTTGTTTGAGTTGCTTATATGTCTATCAGCTAGCCTTCCGGCCACCCTTTCAGACTCACTTATTCAGCTTTTATGAGTCTCATGAATGAATTTTCGTCTGTGAGATGATTGAAATTTTCTGTAGGCGGCTGAGTAGAGTTGCCCCAAAATGTAGTAATTAACCAGTTCCTGCCCAGATCAGTATTCTCGCTCAACCTCGAATTTATGAAGGGATATAATGGTATATAAAAAGTGTATAACTTATTATGGTCAAGTGTCTTTTAATTATAGGTCATTAAAGCCAATAGGTCCGTTGTGTTTATTTGCCTATAAACTGTCACTTCAATCAACAGTATTAATATGACATAGTATCATTTATAACTTGGAAACCAAATTATCCGCCTTTGAAAATCCTCTAGCGGTTATAAAGAGATAAACAGATAAAATATAATGGAGTTATGGCACTTGTACTAAATGTTTTATTCCTACTTTTGACAATGTTTTTCTTTTACAAGAGAAACATTTTTGGAAATTTTTGTCTTGACTACTGATTTAGGTGAATGAAAATCATCCGAATCCAATTTCTTATAAAAGTTTCTACCTCCCATCGTTAAGAGATAAAATCAATATTGGCAGTACATTCGTAAATTGGTTGCAAGAATGCAATTCCGGTGGAATGGTAAGTATAAGGCCGGGAATTTTGTGTGTGTTTGTTTGTGTGCATTTAGACAAATAGTTGTTTATTTTCCTCATCATCTGTTAATTCCACTTTATTAGTTTGTTTTTTTTTACTTTTAAGATTATCATTTTTCCTAATTTACATCAAGTGAATTTTGTGCTGTGTTTCATTAGTGTGATTAACTTTACTAGTTAGTTGTCGCTTGACTACATGTGTATGTATTAAATTTCCTTTTGTGCAATTCTAAGCAATAACCATTCGTCTGTGTTATGTATTTGGTGGAACTGTATAATCTTGAATAAAAGGGAGGGGGGTCAAAAATGGAAAGTGGTTGGGACGATAGATAGATGTCTCTCAATAGATCTTTCTATTATCCTTTGAAGTGTTTAAGACACAACTTTCAATAATATCCTGTTCTTCATTTTCATTGTGGTGTATAACCTCATTGAAGTGAGAAATAAAAGGTTTAATCCGAAACTGTCACATGACACACGCTTTTCAACTGAGAAAAAAGATATGTTGTTTCGATAAAGAAAGACCAGATTTGCAGCATAAAATGGTATTATTCTATTTCACAGGTTCACATCAAACGCAAACTACCTGAAATTGCAGTACTCATAAATAGTGAAAATAACACAATTCAATGTTTGAAACTTATCAAAGGAACCAAGTGTATGGAATCATATTTTGTTTCACGTATTAAATTGTAAGCCGTATATATTATATCGACAACCATAATAATCCTATCCAGCTAAACAAAAGTATTACTAGGGTGATTGAACTTCAGGTGTGTGAGACATCGCTTAGCGATCGAATATCTAAACCATACATTTAAATAAAGGAGGCATATATTGAAGTCGTACACGCTTAATATATAGTAACAATACGTATTAACACTTAACCACTAGCAGCATACTTTCCATGTTGTGCTGTTTCTTTAATTTTTTTTCCTTCACAGCGCTTTTTCTCGTTTTGTGATTATCCGTTTGTATTTGATGCTGCATCAAAAGCTGAGATGTTGAATATTGAAGCTCGTTTAACTATGCAACAAGCTATGGCTCAAGCCCAACAGAATGCTATTTTTCAGACTGTCATTTCTCCATTAATCGGTGCACCTGTATTTGGCATATCACAACCATATTTTACAATTGTTGTTCGGCGCGATAACATTATCCAGGATACTTTAACTCATCTAACAATGGCTAATCCAGCAGATTTTAAAAAGTTGTTGAAAGTTAGTTTTGTTTTTTCAAGTTGTCTGACCTGCTTTACAAGTGATGTTTTTCTTTTAATGCTTTATTGTTAGTTTTGAATTATTACAGATCTTGAGTTGTTGATGATTCACATTTCGTGGCATACGGGTGGCTTATCAGCCACAAATATCTATAATTCTCTTATTTAATTCAATGACATTTCTGAGCCTTGTAGTTAAAGACTTTCAAACGCAACTAATCATTTTATCACTACATAATGTAACTGACTAACTTATAATCATGGAGCTTCTTTCGTACAAGAAAGCAGCAAGCAAGGGTGATAAACCTATGGAAAAAAAACGCATGAAATTTAGGGGAAAGAAATGTTAGGGAATTACAAGGGACAAAGATGGTCAGAAGGAAAACCAACTCGAGAAAAATTTGTATTGACTTCCAGAATTTGTTGGATAACAAGGGGGTGAGGACGTCTACTCCATCGCAAACGATTTCGAGCCATTTCACTGACACTTTCTGACCACTGATATTTAGTGTTTTTAGAAATCCAACCACTCGGGTTCTATTTCCTTATCGGGCCCAAAGCAACAGCTAATAATGTCCGTTTGGACATTGCTAACTCTTTCTACAAATCAAATCAGCTAACAGTTCCCATCCAGGAGGACTGTGGCTCTACTTGTGTAATTTATGTCCTGTTCACTTCAACCAATTCAACTTCGCGACCTCATCACTTTAGTTTCCCTCCTTATTTTACATTGTATTATTGGTTTCGTTATTTTAAACGCTAACTTGCCATCTAATACAAGAGATTGAATGGAAGTATATATGATCGGAAACAGCTAGTTTTATCATATCTTTCAATTCCAACGGGCATCTCTCAAAAAGGTAAAGAAAAACATATCGACTGGTGCGAATTACACACGGTCTTTCATAATTAGTTGGATATCACGCCTACATCCAACATGATGCAAGCAGTTAAATGGCAATCGAACCTTAAGTATCTGCGCCGAGATTTCATCGTCAACCAGTCGATCATGGCTAGCGCAACTTCTTAAGTAAGTGAAGAAGTTAATAGATTCAGTTATATATATATATATATATATCTGCTCGTAAACGATCAGTCGATTCAATTTAGTTTTGCTACGGGAGTGTATTGCATGTTACACATTCTCAGAAGGCTGTGTTTTGTCTTCGCAATTTCATCTGCATACTTCAAATAAACTTCTTAAATGAAAGTTGAAGTATCTAAAGAAGATAAAGCATTACTGTTAAGTAACTGCATAGTTTAGGAGACAAATACTGGAGACTTATCACATATAGCCTGCTAGACAGTGAAGATTCAGGAGTCTCATCCAACGGGAGAATTTGTCACCAACTATGGACCACCGTCAGATAAATTGGAATATACAAATCTTTTGGACCTACCTGCCGTTTGGAAGATATTACAATTATACCTGCACTTAAGTCACCTACTGGATAATGTGAAAATCTGAATCCTATTGGCATTACTTTTCCCTCTTACTTAGTCTTGCGGTTTCATTAAATGTTTTCAATGATCCGAAACAATTTTCCTTTAGGGTAACCATTTTAGACGATCTTGCATTGTTCTGTTATTTCAAGTTCAAACACAATTGAAAAATATGTTCTCGCACAGTACCCGTAAGCATTCAACTGTTTCTCTAGACCTACTCTGTTAAATAAGCTTGCAGTGTGACCAACTGAGCCCTGCACTATTAATTGATTGCATTCTTACTTTCTGAAAGAAGGCAGTACACAGTGTGTGCAAAAGGTTTTGATTTCAATGCTTCCTGAAGCTAGTGTTTCTCACAGTGCTGTTTCTCCCTGCATTTTTCCTTCTTTTGGCATAGTTTATATCATTCAGATAAAACTAATTCACTGACTATCTGACAGTTTTCGCACTTGTTATTTTCCACTAACTTTATTCTGACATGAATAGCCTTTAGCTAAAAATAACCGGTGGTCCTTGAGAAATGCCGTGTGAGGTCTCAACCACCACTTCAAGTCAGCAGCTTACAGTTGGGTCCTTTAGTGATTACGAATCAACTGTCTTAGAACTGGTTACAGGATTTCATCATGAGCTGACTTTGGTTAGAAAACCTGGAGTACTGGACAACTGTTTCATCCTAGCTTGAGACTCTTCATCAGTAGGCACCCACCTAACTCCGAGACCTTCTGGTTACAATGCGAGCTCGTGGACCATTAATCCACTGGAACCTGATCCAATGGCCCATGAAATCCGACCACTAGCCAATGTAATTGGCAAGTATTTGTTCTTACAACCAGTCTTCTGTATCCTGCTGGTCATGACTTCTCATTATATCATGAATTGGCAGAAGTTAGAATTCATGAGCCATTAGATTGCGTCTCAGTTGCTTAATGGTCTACAATCTCGTCTTTTGACCGGGAGGTCCTTGGTTCGGACCCCAGTGGATGCGTACAGATGAAAACCCCCAAACTAGGACGAAACAACTGTCCACAACTCCTAGGTTTTCAATGATTCTCATGATGCTAACATTTACGGAAATAAATCCAATCCCTGCAAACCAACACTTGAATGTCTTGAGATTCTTCGTTAAGTTTTAAAACTGAAATTTTGAATATTTACACTAATCTTGACTTAGTCCTTCCTTTTCCATTTCATACACAGGTTTCTACGTTTTATTTTCGTTCTGTTTCTGTTGACTTTCTTTCTTATGCTGCGCCAAAGAGTGACAGTTATAAGTTAAATATTTGGTAAATTTTCCTACATTGACTTGTCTACTTAGCTGTACTTTCTTGATTTGATTGTTGAATTACATATTGCTTTAATTTTCTAGTTCTGTCGTATGTGTCAAGTTTACTGTTGGTAAGTAGACGAGCAAACTCAGATGATTAAAGTATACATTTCTCAGACTAACCATCTGTTATGTACTCATCGCCAATTTTCTGTTATGTTGCTACTGGGTGAGTTAATAGTCCTGACGTGGAAAGAGAAAAATCAGACCACCTCGTTCACGTTGATACTTGTATTTTCCAAACAAGGAAAAAAATGGCTGTCACACAAGTGTGAGAGTGAAAGGGTACGTGGTGTACGAAATGTGTAAACAAGTGTGTATAAAAGTGTACAATACAAAAGTTTATACGAAAATGACTAACAGACTTGATCCAATAAGACAGACATCTTACCGTGATTGGTTGTAATGTCATGTGACAAAAAGGTCATACATTGTTTATTTAGTTAATGGATAAACAAAGCACATTGTCAATTATAATGGAATGTCGATCAATATGCACATATCAAAATATATCAGACTGTCAAAAACAAAACACACATCGTGTGACTACGTATCACTATCCTTAAGGGATTCATATGAAATTTACTGCACATTCTCTGGCAGCAACGTTTGAATAGCTTATCTTCAGTAACATTATCTTTTTAAGAAATTGGAATTTTAAGTGTGGTACAGGGGGTCGGGTTTGAGGACAAATACTCGCTGAAGGCATTCGCAAGTGGTGGTGATATATCGTGAATTGGCAGAAGTTGGAATTCACTGGCCACTGAATCGGGTCCCAGTGTCTAAATGGTATACAAGCTAGTCTTGTAACCGGAAAGTCTAGTGGGTGCGTACTGAAACAACTGCCCAGTATTCCCAGGTTTTCTAATGATTCTCTTACAGATGTCCTATCATGATAAAATCCTGAAATTAGGATTTCATTGAAAAATATTTCTGGTGAGCTTGTTCGCCTATGAATCAGTTGATTTGTTCAACAGGAGGGAGTGCAGGCTTTTTGTTGGGATGATTAAGAATAGAATGAAATAATTTTCCACTATTGTTTGTTCCAAATCTTGAGTAGCATTAAATTGTATTAGAAAAAAATCTATTTTCATTTTGTTATTATTTTCCTTTGAGAATTATTATTCTAGACAAAAATTATTTCTTATATCTCAAACTCTTTCTCTTTCAACGCACAAATAAATGAAATCGCCACCGTCTAAATCAATTATATTTGAGTGGATTCTTCCTCTAACCTATTATTTATTTCGCTAATTCTTGGTCTATACGTGTACAATTGTTGACGGCTGAACAAAAAGTGTAGAAAAAGGGGAGACAGAGAGGAGAAAGTGCGACTGTGAAAGGAAGATGTAAAATCTTTATTTTTACATACATATTAAGTTTGTTGTGTTTCTATAACTAAGTGAATTAACGTAAATACAAATGATAAACAGATATGATAGAGAAGATTTGTAGCTCAGGTGGATGATTTTGATGTGGTTTTGTTCTCTGAGCTGGATGGTTAGTTTGCGAAGCTTTCATCGCCTTACTGGGTGACATCTTCAGCGCTTCAAATTGAAGTATGCGCTGAAGATGTCACCCAGTAAGGTGATGAAAGCTTCGCAAACTAACCATCCAGCTCAGAGAACAAAACCACATCAAAAAGATAAACAGATATGTTTGATCACCGACAGCTCTATATCTTATTTTGTGTCCAACCATTCTAGATTCTCTTCACTCTATGCTTATTTTTCTCTCAAAGGTAATAACAACTGATGAGTGATTTTCTTTTTTCATCTAGCGTTCTGCAACAGCCTGTGCATGTAGAATATTCACTATTAGGTGGTAACATGCAGTGCATCATGCAGTTTTCTACTGCTTTGTTTTACCCAGCAACAAGGACGTTTACAGTCAGTTGTCAAAAGGTATCATGAATTTGTGTTATCTCTTGTAACATGCATGTGCTGTGGTCATCGTTCTCGGTGCTAATCTGTCGGATCCGACGCTATCGGGTAGATAACTGCCACGTTTTTATAGTTTAGTTCCAAGTCAAACTGAAGATTTATTGCAAAAGTGTGCATGTTTTACCTCTTCAGTGGTAAAAGTTCACACTAAAAACGTATATGCATCAGGTACTCATTCTCTTTTTGATTACAGGAGGACAATCATCAACCCGAATACCTCAGTGGTAATATTTATAATTGCAGCACATTGGATGACGCGGGCTCGAAACCCAATAGGGACATGAGTTCCCTTGATGCCGCAGCACGACTGACTGACTGGCTTCAACAAACAACTTTGCACAAATGTATTGCAGTTCGAGTTGCCACTCTACGTTCAGATATGCCTTGCTAACGAGTGTCAACAAGCATGAAGCTTAGGCAGGCCAGGGGTTTTTCTACCGATTACCTCCAACCATCTAACATCAGTTCAATTCGGTGTTTCAAATATTTCCATTGAATATAATTACCAACCTATTTTTTTCGGTAATATTTTATTCTTAAGGTAAAATTTGAAAATGAAGAAGCTGTGGACGAAGGCGGTGTGATGAAAGTAAGTAAATTATTCTACAATTTTTATACCCTTTCCTTAAATTATTTCTGAAAGGAGAAACAACAAACATTGTTATCTAATAATATGGGTCTATCGTATTTTGTATTGTTCTTTTCAGTTGCGTACACTTTGTAACATTTAACAGAAAAAGTTTTGATACAATCTTAACATGTTTTTGTTTTTCCTTCACGTTCCCCGGTGGAACATAGGGCTTCAAGCTAGTGGCTTGAAGTTTTTGTAACAGTGTTTAGTTTTACAGGATGGGGTTGCTAGCCTCATGCCCAACCTTTCCTCCTTACCAGTCTCATTAATGGTTTAGCGAGGTAAAGGAGTTCGTCGGCCGGGGATCGAACCCCGGACCATGTGAATGGTCGGCGATCGTCCTAACCGCTATGCCGTCAACGCGTCAATCTTAACATACTTTTATTTATTAACAGGAATCAGTCCTCTCCACTAAAGAATATTGTAATTTTGTTGTAGCAAAATAAAATATAAAGGTGATATACCGTTTTAAAGTATTACAATGTACATAAGATCTGATTCTCCTACAAACAAACAAATAAGCTTTGATACCTATGGTGGTAACGTTAAATGCAAATTTGATGAGTCATTTGGGAATGCGTAACCAGATATAGTAAAAATACAGTGAACAGAACTCGGAAGATCAGAAAAACATCAAAATTATCAGGTGTAGGAAAATTTGATATCTAAGATGTCTAGTGAAAGGTTTTTGGTATATTACAGTGAGTAGAACTCAAAATATCAAATATTAATCACTAACATGTTACCGTGCAGTACTTCGCTGAAGTGTAGTTAAAAATTCTGAGGTAGTGACAATAATCAGATTCTTATCTGTGAATATCCTCCTTCGTTCTTCTCTAGGGTTAATGGGAAAATTTCAGTTCATATGACAAGTACTAGTTTCTAAAATGTGAATATTGAATCTTTTAGCTATGAATACTCACAGCTACACAGATTTTAGATGATTCTTCCATAGAATATATTTTTATTGTTAGAACGTACCCGTATCCCGTCTTCAGAGTGATTTTAATACAATGTGTCTTTCTTTTTAAGGTATTACATCTTAAAGCCTATGATTACCTTATGGTTTCATCATTTCTCTGTCCTCCCATTTTGAACAACTTTTGCTTGATTTAAGAATACAAGGTTTGGTAACTTCAACAGTTAAGAAGTAGCAGGAAATGTAGCAATGATAATGTCTGTCTTTCTCTCTACCTTACCACGATACTTGGTTACAATGACTCCACTCCAGTGCGTCGGTGGCACGCCGGTTAAGAATCTCGCTGACCATACACATGGTCCGGGGTTCGATCCCCTGCCGACCCACACTTGATATCAATGGCTGGCCTGCAAAATTTGGGCTACCGATATCGCATGCTGAAAATTCCATACTTGTACCAAAAATACGGAGTGGAATCAAGCTATAATCAAAATAAAAGTAATCAACATTTATAGTTGGAAGTGAGGGGGTCATTTTCTTTCAATTCGATGGTTAGAAAAATATACTTCTCATGTTGTCTAGAATCCTCATCTAGGGATAAGTAAAAGCAATTAAGTTATATACACTCTTGAAAATCTCGAAATGGAATAGAAATTTCCGGTCATATTGTACCAGTTCTTCGCTGAATATATCACTTCGTAATATATTCTTACGATTGCATGTCATAATTTTGTTTTGTGTAATACTTCCTCGTAACTCTAATCCACAGTGGCTGAATGCCAATAAAGCAAACAATTATACAGAAAGGGCAGAAACCATAAATTTGTATTTCGCAGAATTATTTGTATTTATACGTACACAATGTACGGAAACATTTAAACAATACAGTAATTGAAGTAATCAATGACCACATCTTATTCTTTGAAAAAAAACGTATTTTATGAATCAATATAACATCCGTTCAATTCGACTTTTGCTACGCGATAAAAACTGTAGCGTCGACAGGTTTTTATTCATTTGTTTAAGTTATTCTTACTAATCGGATAATGTTTTCCTTTATATCATCGGTGTTTTCTTCTCTACGCCTAAAGGAATTTTTCTTGCTAGTTATGCGAGATTTACTCAATCCTGTATACGGTATGTTTCGGTGTTATCCAGAATCGCGAATGTTGTGGTTCAATGAATCAGTAAGTGATAAATTAATTTAATCTTGTTGTCTTATTGCATTGTTATTTGTTTTGGTTGTTGTTTCTATGATAGTGAATTATTATAACTTTCTTCTATTGTATACATAGAGGTTCGTGCACTGTTTTGGTTTACTTGTTCAATAATCAAGGTAGGTGAGTTAAATGCGGCATACTTTTGTCTGAAAAGCCGATTAGTCCTCCTTTGTATGATACATGTGAAATTAACAAGCATGTAAATAAGTGCTTGTTCATAACCGTATCTTAGGAAACAAAAAGGGATATATGTACTTCGAATTTAAATGATTTGCGTCAGTGGTTCGGTGTTAGGATGCTTGCCAACCACGGATTTAGCCTGGGTTCAATTCCCGGCCGAGGCGCTCTTAAATCTGACAGCCAGTAGGGAATCTGAAACAGAGGGGAGGTTGGATGTTAGCCCAGCTACCCTACCCCGTAAAAAACAATACCACTGCTAAAGAAACTTCAGAGCTTGAGCTTAAAGCCCTTCATTCCACTTGGGAAGCAAAATAATGAAAAAAAAAGAATCATTATGTTCAAAGGATCACTTGATGGTACAAGACATGTAGTTGAGCCTTTTAGAAGTAAAAAAATATTCAACGAACACGAATTTCGGCACATATATTCTAATGTAATTGAGCACCCTGATAACATTCCTCATACCTTCAGATCAAAGAATTTAAGAGTTGTATTCCCTTGAGGCATATGCAAATAGTATGACTCGAACCAGTTTTTGTCAACATATGATTTAGATAGTGTGTGTATACACTGGTAATATGTTGAGAAAATAAGGAATGCTAGAAAACATACATACAGATGAAAAGTTACACCTGAAAGACATGACATAATACACTATTTGGGAGTTTATATCATTACACACAGGTAAAGGTGACATTGGTGCCTGAACTTTTCATTTCTGTTCGGATATTTCCGATTGTTTCAAGCAAATCGTACAGCTAAAGAGTTTTGGAAAAATGGTTTTTATTCGATAATGTAGAAGTCGTCATAGATTTGTTTTTCAAAATTTACACTACGAGTCAAATTGGTAGAATACATTGGTGTCATTAAAATTTAAATATTGAACTCTCATTTTTAGAAACAACAACCAGTTTGAACGAAGAAATATACTCCATTTCAATAAGTTCCTCAGTAGCACTTCACTAAAATATAGTTTCACCTTGAATTTATACCAATGATATCTTAATGTTAGTCTGTAAGAATTATCAATTAAAAGATGTGAGAGGGTGGCAGTAATTGATAGCGAAAGTCAAGATAGTTAATTTGTAGAAATATGCAAAATACTGTTATTCATTAAAAAATGTATAAAGTTTGTGGCATGGTTATGCAATTGAATATCAGTTAAACAGTAGGGGTCTTTGGTAAGTTTATTACGCAATCAATAATTTGCAGAGTAATAATGACTAAGAAGAAGAGGTAAGTGAGTTACTTAAGAGTACCGGGAGATGAATAAATTATTTGAATTAAGTAAAATAATAGTAGTACTAAATTATATCAGATGATAGTTACAGGGATAGAGGCAAAATCGCTACAGAAAACATAGGAACTGTATGGATTTCTTATCCAGATTAACTACGATTATCTCTTTTGAATGCAAAAGTCAGACTCGTAAGGCTGAAATAAGATAAATAACTTTAAAAGGTATGTAAGTGTCAACTTGATGTCTTGAGTTACATATCTAGTGAAATATTCGATTTTATTACTAACCGAGATGTCTAGGGTTCAGGAATTTGACGAACTTGCCTAAGCGTACTTCCAGTGTAGAATCAAAAAGGAATATGTTTTTTCTCTCAGTTTGTTCTAAATGTTTAAGTGTAAATTTTCAAATGACTGAAGTCTATTTTTCATTGAGCACAGAATGTATAAGATTGCAGAAAGTCAGCTTCTATGATGTTTTTGTAAAACCATTTTATTATGACTGTTATCATCCAGGCAAATGCTTTCTTTCTACATCCACATTTTTCTGCTATTTAATTATCTTTTAGACAATGGAAGGTGAAGGTGTCTTCACAATGGTTGGTATATTGTGTGGTCTGGCTATATATAATTCTATCATTGTCGATTTAAGCTTCCCACTGGCTATGTTTCGTAAACTGTTGGGTGAAACACCGGGATTAGATGATTTAAAGGAATTAGATCCTATTGTTGGTCGTTCACTACAACAAATGCTTGACTATGATGAACCGGATTTAGCAGATGTATTTTGTCTGAACTTCAGTGTAAGTTTAAACAGTCTGTAGTCCTTTGCAAAACGAATAAAAATCACATAAATGACAGTCTTCATTCAGTCTGTATCACAATGGTATTTCTAAAGGGAAATATTTATGCGATATTCGACTGTCACTGACAGGTGATAAATACATAAATAAATCAAGAATTGGTAGAAGTTGGAATTCATGGGCCATTGAATCGGATCTCAATGACTGCCTTGCCTTGCAACCGGGGGGTCATGGGTTCGAACCCAGGATGTAACAACTGCTGGGTACTCCCAGGTTTGTAATGGTTCTCTAACTGATATCAATCTGTGGTCAAACTCGAAAAACATTAAAGCGTTCATTATAACTATTTAAACAACGATTCTTTTTAAAGTCGCATTTCGTTATTAACAATTTTCAATAAACGTTTTTTTCAGTTTTATGGTATACTTCCAAATCTTTTTCGAATTATTGACAAGTGATAACTTCTGACTCTTATATTTTCATCGATTACTTTCATAATATCCTGTCGTTAGATTTTAAGGATGTGAGAATGACAATCAGACAGTGCACATCATTTTTTTAACCAGGTAACCTATAATATTGGAATTCGCTGCAGTTGATCAGTTGAACCATAGATACCATCTGTTTTGGTCTACTTATTTACGAAACTAATTGGTGACTTAGAAGTGTTCCGATTTAATGGTTTAATTGACTATCCACTTACCGTATCGAAAACTATCTACTCAACTAGGTAGTTACACAAATGTGAAGTGCGACGGAGACCATCTTGTACTTCGGAAAAATTCTCGAGGCCTTCATTTTCTCCAGTGACTTTTCGCTTTTGTATGGACACTTATGGTATGTATAACTGGTTGATATCAATAGTTGGAAACGAATTATGTCAATCAGTAGTGCTTACTGACTAGATAGTTTGCGGCCTGACTGTACTAACTGTGCCAATATTCTTTAGAATCAAGTCGTCTCCACACTGATGCTTCTCGTTTCACACTCTTAGAGTTGAGGGATGGAATCAGATTTACCCAATGTTAAAATGTTTTCCGATAAGGAGAAGTGATAACGCTTTGAATCCTTTCGCTTTTTCAAATTTACCTGAATGATAGTTATCTGTATTATTCTCGACGAATAGCAGTATGTGTATTAGATGCTAAATTTATAGAGACATGTCTTCATTATGGATGAGATTTTGATAAATCACACAGTGTTGTACAGTTATATTAACTGATGACGTTTCGAGCACAAACTATTGGTCTACCACAGTGTCCAAGTTTTATACTTATATCAAGAGGCATGTCTTTTCTTTTATACGGATCACGAAGTATTCCAACGCTTTATGTTATTTAAGTTGTTAACTCATATTCAGTATTCTTTGCCTGTTTTATTATTTGTTACTGTCTAGGTTACAATTGATTACTTCGGTGTCAATAAAGTCATTCCCTTGATAGATAATGGTGAGGGTGTGACTGTTACACAAGAGAATAAAGCTTTATATGTTGAAAAATATGTAGATTATATTTTTCAAAAGTCCTGTGAAACATCTTATACAGCATTCGAAAAAGGATTTCATCAAGTTTGCGGTGGTTATTCTTTGAAATTGTTCCGTCCTCCAGAATTACAGGTTAGTTAGCTGTCTGCTTTCACTCGCGTTTCTGTTAATTTTTGCATCTTTTAATATGGTTGTCTTGTTCTCTGAGATGGTTGGTTTAACTGCGAAACTCTCATTGTCCTTCAAGACAATATTTTCAATGCTCACCCCTTACTGTGTAGTGATTTTGTAGGAGTTTCCCATGTACAATATGACCATATCCCTTTTGATAACCTTGGCTGCGCTATTTACCAATGACTCAGAGAACACAATCACATCAGGAACATCCAACTGATCTACACATTTTTCGCCTACGTCAGTAATGTGTCTTTGTAACTTGTGTATTATTTTTTTGTTGAGGTGAATTGAGTTTCTGTGCTTCTCTATAAACCACTTTAGAATTTAAAATATCTCGTTTTAGACTAGTCATCTTTGAACTGTTTTCAAAAGTGAGTGTGTATAAACTAACTTGTTTACTAGATCTATTTATATGATCAGAAGACTCAATGAGTCTACCTAATTAGGATGAAACAGAAGGAGAAAGCGGGATTAAAATGTATAAGAGTTAGGGGTCATTACAGACAAAAGTATACTAATTCAGACGATGTTGATCTCAGGAGAAATGTGTAGGTTATCTGATTGTAATCTGCAATATGTTATTAGTTCATGGTCTGAGACATATGCTATTATGATAAAAGATTGTGCACCATGTAACAGAAGTATTTACCCATTGTTATTCTCTAAATTCTGAATATTTTTGTTGGTCTTCATTAAACAATTTTTCCACTTCTATTTGCGAATGATTGTTTGAACGTGTAGCAACCTCGTCTGATTCATATGTATATAAATTTCCACGTGAATTCGTTAATCATTTAAGGAAATAATGATTCAACTCAGTAATCGTGTACAGATCAGTGTATTAAAATAAGTAATTGGGATTATGCAACACTGTGTGCTTAAAAATTAGTGAATTTAAAATGGCCTTAATTTCGTTACCTACTTTTTCAAAGTTGAGCAGTCTTAACCAGTCTTCATTTCCACATGTAGTTTCCTTTGTACATAAATTGTTTTTTTATTGCCTGAATCTCCCTAGGCACTTGTTGTTGGGTCAGAAGCAGTTAACTGGGAGGAACTTCGTCGGAATACAACATATCAAGGTGTATATTGGGATAGACATCAGGTGATTGAATGGTTTTGGGACGTACTACTCTATGATTTTACGGTGGAAGAAAAGAAGAAGTTTCTGCGTTTTCTTACTGGATGTGATCGAGTACCGATTGTTGGTTTCAGTGGTGTAAAAGTAGGTGTATATATTAAATCAGTCAATACAGTTATTGTATAGAAATTACGGAGGACCATTATTATTATTATTATTATTATTATTATTATTATTTTATCACTGTTACTTAGTGATATTCATCGCAGTTTATTCGACTGAGTAATTTGTAGACCAATGGTAGTGTATATAATGAAGAAAGCATCAACTGACGAACGAATTTTTCTCATATCATTTCTTTAAAACCATCAAATTCTATTTATATTTACTGGTGCTTTTGAACTATTCAATTCAGTGCGACATTATTGTATGTGACATGCAGATAAGCTGACTTCACTTATTAGAGTTTTGAAGAAGAAGAAGAAAAAGCATACCGTAACGAAGCCCAAGTTTATTTTAGATTTGACAATGTATTTGCACTGCGCTGATGCAATATATTTGTGTTCTCACTGATAGCGGTTACACTAAACTGGTGTTTGGGTTGCATGCTGCAATGACCTAAGGAGTTATACTATATGCCTACCATGCAAAAATGGTCGTTTGGATAGAAGTTTCACCTATCATCCACCGGCATCAAACCAATTATAGTTTCAAGTGAGTCACATATCTATAATTTATTAATGGAGAGGATTGATGGATGATTGCTACTCCATCTGGAACACCTGCACTACTTCGTAAACTTGTATCCAGAAAAGGGAATCGGTATAGAAGACAAACAGGTACGAAGTCCTAAAGTGCCCATCATTTTAATGAGAATATGAAGTCCATATTTGACGAGAAGGTAGCTAAAAAAACATAGAAGTATGACAGTAATATTCAACTTGAAGAAGTTTTGCACTGTAAGTAGCTTGTTCCAGAAATGGTGGTGAAGACGATTATTGGTTGGCGGTGGATTTCTGTCGATTCTTCCGAACTGCTACATGCAAGGAGTATGGTAATCAAATGGAAGCTGACTGGAAGTCTTCTCAATGACCACCAGCATTGGGGGGTGACGAAGCTGCATAGGGTAGGAAATATAATGGAGGACATTCGTAGCTCAGGTGGATGGTTTTGATGGAGTATTCCACTCTCAGCTGTATGGTTTGCTTGCAAAGCTACCATTGCCCTTCTATGCAACATCTTCAGCACATACTTCGGTTTGAAGTGGACTTTTAAATTCCTCCACGCGTTTACTAGTCATCTCCCCGGGTGAGCTTGAATGTGATTGGTTGCTCTTGTTTTTCTTCACACCCTCTAGTCTCTACCCTTTTTCATTTAAACACAGAAAACTCGGTACAATATGACACCAAGAAGATGCGCAATAATAAAACAACATAGATTAAAAGTAAAAAATATAGGTAGAAAACGGATAAGGAACTTCATCTGTAAAGAAAACGGTTATATTTGATAAGTTCAAACAGCGTTCGTCAAATATCAACGGGAAGGGAAGAAAGAAAAAATTGCAGCATGCTCGCCATTGTTTATGATTCTTGGCCATATCCGATAAAGTTTCGAGCCACCGATTCGAGCTATCTATCGGACTTCAACCAGGAAGTCGTGATGCGCCAACCGATGCTGACTTAATACAAATATCCTTCATCCCACGACGCCACGTCATCGGCTAACCGCCTCTCCGCCTTTTCCATCCCGTCCCAGGGTTAGCGAACAGCGACCTGTACGAAGCTTCTGGAATAACATTTGCAGCACATGTCCAAGCCATCGAAGCCGGTGTTTCCAGATGACGACACTCAATGAATGGTGATCTCCACCGTGCTCAAACTAACGCCGCCGAACCTCAAAATTGATGCAATTGAACTCAAGCAATCCTGCGGAGACAGCGATGATCGAACACGCGGAGTCGCCGCACCTCCTTAGCTCGGAGAGGCCAGGTTTCACAGGCGTAGAGCAGGGCAGCCCGCTCCGAAGCATTGTATAGCTGACCTTTGACAGCCAGGCTAACGTCGCTACGGCGCCAGAGATGGCTGAAGTTGATGTATGCCACCCTAGACTTCATTATACGGTTGGGAATCTCATCCGTCACCCCTCCTCCAGCACTCACAAAACTACCCAGATAAACAAACTTATCAACAACTTCAAGCGTTCACCTGCAAGAGTGAGTGTTGGTACAAGCTCCTGCCAATCTTGTTATATTACTTTGCACTTAGACGGCGCAAAGCACGTACAATAGTTACAGATGCTGATTGCCAACTGGTCAAGTGCAATTCGGGCAGTCTGCATGCTGTCGCATAGTAAAACGATATCGGTGTTCCTTTAATTTGTTCATATGAATTGGACGTTGTTAGACATAGGTTTACGAATTCCATCCAACTTTTGTTGCATTTTTGAATGTTGTGTGAGGTGTTCGTCGTTGCTGAGTAATTGCACCATGGTATCTTGCTAATTTATGTGCAATTGAGATGTATAATCCTGTGACGTAGAATAATACCATAATTTCTTGATCATCTATTTGAATGCCTTTGATTTTCCCTAGAAATTGGATTGTACATTTGATGGAGTGGTCGCAGCATTCCTTTAGGTGCTTCACTTCTCCCTATAGTTCTTTGGATTAACCCATAAGAGGAGAATCTCGTGCACAAAAGGTCAAATTTCAGGTCAAGGAAATAATCAATACCAACACAAGTATACTGGAGTGTGTGAAGACAAACAAGAGCAACCAATCACATTCAAGCTCACCCGGGGAGATGACTAGTAAACTCGTGGAGGAATTTAAAAGTTCACTTCAAATCGAAGTATGTTCTGAAGATGCTGCCTAGAAGGGCAATGGTAGCTTTGCAAGTAAACCATCTAGCTCAGAGGGGGATATCGCATATGCAGGAGGCGAAACTGTTCAACTGTTTAGATCCATCACGAAAACTAGTGCCAATTGTAATCAATGAAATGAAATAACTTTTCAGTACAGATAGCTGGATGTCCTAGAGAACATTTCAGGAGCCGTTAAACGGGTTTGTAGCAGCACTGCAGCTGCCTACCTTCCAACTTTTGCTGTACATATCCCTCTAATTTTAGCTCTGCTTATGACATCCATGCTTTGATCCGTGTATTCAGGTATACACTGTTCTGAGTCCTCGTTGGCTGGAAATTTTTCGTATGACTCACAATCTTCTTTTTCAGTGATGCAGGCTTGTTCACTCCTTTTCAACCTACAGATGCTGAAAGTCTCCTATTCTTCGTGTTTATTTCCTCTCTCTCTGGTATATTTTTGTCGCTTTTGGTTTGATCGTATTTCTTTTGCATTTGTATATATGCTTTCCGAGCCTGAACCAAAGTACTCTTGTTCAATAGTACCACAGCAATAATATTTATGTAATAACACTGAAGACTAAAAATAAGTGAAATCCTCAATATTATCCTATAGTGGTAATTTAATTTTAAGCATTTTTACAATCTAATTTGTCGGAATTCATTTCAGATGATGAAAATATTTATTTGTGGAAGAATATGCCTATTCAGAGTTGATTGAGTTAGCATTTGCTTTCATGGAATTTTTATCTTGATTTTCAGATGGGTAATGAGTAAATTGATTAGCAATGTACGTCTTTTTACTAGCCAAACTGTGAAGTTGTATGTGATCTATGACGCTGAAATATAGGACGAGGTCGTATATACCAATTTTATTGTTAGTTCAACTGTAGGCACTGTATAACTTCTTTATAAGATTAATTGCATGATTCAAAGGCAAATCCTAATAGCGGAATATATTAGTTGAATCGTTTTGTGTTGCTTGTTTAACTAAATTTCCGCAGCTACATATTCTTATTATGCACGCATTCAACTTTCTTATATAAACGATCTGGTACGATCGACGTTATGTAGAATCCGGTATTTTTACCTGGCCATGCGTTCATGTTCTCTTCCAGGTAAATCATATGCATTAAATTCATGTACTGAAAAGAAGATTACTAGTTTCTAGTGGTCATCAGGTAACACGAAGTTTTTATTTAGGAGAGTTGGAAAACCGTGTATTATAAATTTATGGCGTTCATGGCTACCAAGATCCGAATTAAGTCAATGTTTATATTTTGGTCACTGACGAAATAAGGAACACAGCTCCTGACGTTGTTGTGTTGTCTTGTGAATGAGACTTCATGTCAAAGGCTGTGGGAGCGCTGCCCTAAGACCACTATCAGCTTCGGTTTGGACATCTCAACCTTGAAGCGAATATGGAACGACAGCTCAATGGAAGGTTCAACTCATCACTATGGTCTCGCTGCTATGCGACTCATATAACCAGTTACTAAATCCACCTTCTTGATATTGTTATCTTTATTCTCATATATAACTGTCTTGTTTTATTTTTTCCACCTTCACATTTGTTTTTATCTGTGATTTCGTTATTGTTGGAAATCTTTATGGTTTTGAGCCACTAAATAGTATCTAATATGGTTATTATGACGCCATGTATCACCTTCAAGCTTGCTACCTACAATTTTATTAAAGCGAAGATGTGGTCAGCCTATGATATGGCTCTGTATAATGAAAGGTACTTGTTTTAGATTAGCAATTATTGATAATTCATTGCATACCAAAGGTGAGTTTTGAGAGGTCAGAAAACTCAGTGGCTCCAGATGCTATGACATACGGCAGACACAGTACAGTTCCCCTCCGTCCCATAATAAAACGGAGTAATCGATTCTCCTTTTTGATTTCTCTTGATAATTTTTTCAACTTGTTTTCCCGATATTATTCCTTGGTTATTTTATTTGTCTTTGCTTCATACTGTTGTTTTATTGTTTCTGTGTTGTGCCTCTCTCTTGTTGCCTAAATGGTACCAAGCGCGTAGTTCAAATAAATAAATAAATAACAGCTATACAGTCACACCCGGTTTCGGTTTATTAAGCTTAGTATTCACTGAAGAACAGTTGGTGAAAAATACATAATCGAAAACAAGAATAGCTAGACCTAAATGAAGTAATGCACCTGAAATTCTTCGTGAATTATTGAAGCCTACTTAAACACAGTAGGATGAATAAAAGCAGCACTTTTATTGACTATTCTGCTTTCATCAATCATTTTCAAACTTCATTCAAGTTTGCAAAGTAACATAGTCTTATAAGAGATAAAAACGTCGTCGAAATTTGGATTTTGAGGATAGTCAGCCAGTAAGATGCCTCGTACATAAGTTACCCGTCCATTTCACACTCATTAACTAGATATATACGAGATCTTAATTGGGTTGACAAAATGCATAGTCTCATGAAACAGTTACTTGGGATTATTTAGTGAACTATGAGATGTGTATGCTTATGGTAACCTCATGGAGTTGTTTTCATCTATCTAAGTGAAAGTCTGTTACGGCAAGCAAGTGCATCACTTTGAAATACATGAAGTGTGTGTGTGTGTGTGTCGGCGGCACAATAGTTAGGACTCTTGCCGACCGTGCACATGGTCCGAGGTTCGATCCCCTGCCGACCCACACCTGGTATCTATGGCCGGCCTGAAAAATTTGGGCTACGGATATCCATGCTGAAAATTCCATACTTGTACCAAAAATACAGTGTGGAATCAATAAAAATAAAATAAATAACATCTAATTGCCTCAAAAATGCCTTAAAGCATGTGATAAAATTTGGATATTGAATTTTAAAAAATCTTTTTCGGTTATTTATTCTGTAGATTACAATTCAACCAAATAATAGCGGTGATGATTTCCTACCTGTTGCACATACATGCGCCAATCTCCTGGATTTACCGCAGTACAGTTCTAAAGAAGTATTGGCTAAGAAATTGTCAATGGCTATTCAACAAACCGAAGGATTCGGTTTAGTTTAAATTCAAATCTACTTATTCATTCATTCATTCATTCATTGATGACAATTAAATTAAGATGTTTTCCATTTGAATACGTGTTGAATGAGTTCTATTCGTTTACTGGTGTATTTGAAAACCTACTACTCAGGAAGTGTCTTCATACTTGTAATTACAAGCACTCTTTAATTTCCTTCTGTTCGTGAACATTTGGAAAAGAAATAGCTCTCTCTCGCTCCCTTTTTTTCACCTTCTTATTTTTGGCTTTCAGATTGCCGTTACAGCCCATTTTTTAGATTATGTGTATATTGTTCGGTTTTTCTCCCACTGTAAATGGGAAAGATTATATCAATAAGAGAGCTCATATTAATTAGTTTTTTATATGCATTCTGTATTGTTTTAATAGAAAAAAAAACACAAGTCCCATGATGTTCTTCTTTAAAGGACAACTTGATAGACTACTGGATAGCGTAATCTATTTTCCTTTACTTACAGCATGTGCTTAAATCTTCAGTAATTCATAGGATATCAAAATTATTCTAATCCTCAGTCGTAAACGTTTTTAGAAGTGTTAGAATGTAGACTCCACCCTCACCCTCTAAATCCAGATCATGTAAAGTCTTCTTATCGGTCAGTCCAGCGTATTCCTGTCTGCTTGCTGCCTACAGTCTGACGCATAAGCCAGTCTCCCACAACTCAGAATATCATGGTGCTAATAGGCAGACAGTCTTGTCTTGCTCCTGTATTCATCACTTCAAATGCCTCTTTGAGTTTTTCGTTGTGGATCACGTGACATACGGCATTGTTATGTAGCTGGAAAATGAGATTGATGAAGATTTGGGGCACTGCACGCCATAGTGTTGAATTGGTTTCCGAATTACTTTGCAATCAAGGCTGTCGACGACTTTTGAAAGTCAGTGAAATTGAACTAAAGGTTTTGACTGTCATTCTGTGCTTTATTCTATGATGATGCGTAGAGCTGCAATTTGATGAGCACACAATTTGATTTTCCGGAATGCAGCCTGTTCTGGTGTGGTGGAGTTCTGTATCCAGTGCGTCTTTTTAATTTCTCTAGGATGAGGCGAATTAGTATTTGACTTAGCGTGAACAAGAGCATTATTGCACGCCAGTTCTTGTAGAATGAGGCTTATGTCTCCATTCTTTGTTGGTTTCACAAAAGTAGCCTTTCTTCCAATCAGTAGACACATATCCTTTCGAACATACTTCTTTTAATAGTGGCGTCAGCACATCTGGTGCACTTTCTATGTCCGTTTTCAGTGCTTCGAGGTGGATTCTGCCTGGTCCTGCTGCCTTTCCTGTTGGCTTCAGTAGCTTGATTGCATTCAATATGTATGCTTTCACTATAGTGGGCCCTCTTGGTTAATTTTCCCGAATAGCTCTTGTTCCTTAGAAAATGTTTGCAGTGGTGGAGTGAACATATCCACTGTAGTAACTGGATCCACTTTCAGTGCTTCCGGGGGAATTCTATCTGTTCCGACTGTCTTCTCGGACTTCTTAATGATATTTTTTGATTTAAAACAATTAGTTTCCTTTACGAATTTAGACAAAGCAATAATAAGACTTAATTTGTCTGAATTGTGTTATGTATTTGCGCAACTCATTTCGAACAATCTGATCTCACACGGACTTGTCATAGGAATATATGTGAAATTAATAAAGAGTTAAGAGGTGAGAAAAGAGACTTACGTCACGTGAAAGGTCAAAATAACAATGAAAACCACTAAACCAAATAACAGAGGTAATAGTACATCTGCTATGGTATCAAAACAAAGTTTACCAAAGAAGGCTTAGTGTGATGACGAATTGTTTTTGAACGCATAAAGGTGGTTTAAACTTTCTAATTGCCAGCTAGGGCTTTCACAAACTTTAGGATACGCGTTTTATAGGTTTAAAACATCTATTAACGTCAATTTTATGTCCTGTCTCTATAATATGTTTCGCAATAGAGGGGCCAGGTCTCCTGTTCTCACCGTTAACAGGTTCTGAAGATTCAATTTGTTTCTGGAGCCATTGAGGAATATGCTCTGAAGCCCTTACTTGCAGAGATCGATGAGTCCTCCCTACGCATGTGTGTCACACGTACATTCAAATTGGTAGATACAGTGGGATATGATGCCATTTTTTGCATGTTCAAAGGGCTTAGATAGATATATTGACTTCACATTCTCAATTATTGCGATATTAGCTGCATAAAAAGTCATTAACAGCAGTGTTCAGTTTTTGTCTAGTTATCAAGCTGCTGTGATGCCCCATATAGGGTAGCTTTTTTGATACCATAGCAGATGTACTATTACCTCTGTTATTTGGTTTAGTGGTTTTCATTGTTATTTTGACCTTTCACGTTGACGTAAGTCTCTTTTCTCACCTCTTAACTCTTTATTAATTTCACATATATTCCTATGACAAGTCCGTGTGAGATCAGATTGTTCGAAATGAGTTGCGCAAATACATAACACAATTCAGACAAATTACGTCTTATTATTGCTTTGTCTATATTTTTTAATGTTAAGATAAGGTGCTTCGCTGATAGTTCATCTTTAATTACTCTTATAGTGTGACTTAGCTTGATAGCCTTATCGCTAAGCCTCACCAATAATAAGTACTTGACAAATATATTAATCACCATCTTTTATACTTATGTAAATATTTATAAGTGGAACTGGTCGTATTCCAGGTATAGACAACGCATTTCAAAGTCCGATTCGGCCTAAAGCAAATGGAAATTCCTTTGCCGTCCATGCACCAATATTTCCTAACAAAGTCAAACGCGTTGGTTATCACTACATAACTCTAATTTTAGAGTAGTGAATTTGAAAGAAGCTCCTATGATTCATTACACAAATCCTGAATTATGTTCACAGATTTCAACTATTGCGTATTGTGGACTACGTGACCTACTAAAGTGTGATTGACTGTCGACATTTAGCTTCTTCTCATATAATCCATTATTGTGAGCAATGCTAATTGTTAAATGATTGTGAGAGGGGAAATAACAACGTATTATCTCGCAATACTTTTAATGCGAATGCCTTATTGTAAGTTTGAAAAACGCTCGCCTATTGTTGAGGCATTCAATCTAAGTAATTGTAATACTGTCACTTTGAAATAAGTCGCATTGCAGGAAACAAGGACAATTGTTTTTGAGGGTTTAAGCTTCCAGAAGCAATCAGTAGTAGACAGTCAAGTGTAAGCACCAATTCTTCCAGCAATAATCATTGTCTTACTTTTCTCTTCACTCAGCTGTATTATTCGCTTGGATAAATGCATCAATTCGCATAGACTCTGTCCACTATCTAGCATTTTCAAGCAAAGGAATAAAAATAGACTTGAAAAATAAGTGGTTAGTCGAAAGTACGAATTTATTCTTAAAAATGGGATCTGTTTTTACAGACTACATTGTATAGTTTCAAATGTTATGTACGTGAGGAAACCAAAGTATGATGAATGAGAATTATTATTAGTAGTAGTAATGTTATCAGTAGAATGGTGATTTTGTAGCATAGAAAGTGCAGTTTTACTGTTATTTAATATGAAAAAAGGTGGAACTATAATAAGAACAAAAGAAATACTTTTTGTCTCCTATTCTGACTCAATCTTTTTGACTTTATATTTTATTATCATAGTTATCGTATTCCCAGTGTCGAAATATCTATATCTTTAATGGCTGGATGTTCAACAAGATACTTTAAAACAAGTTCACGTGTTTCATCTGTAAAATGTATAGAACAACAGAAAAGGAAATCTGTAACATGGTGTTTTACTTATAAGTTCTGTGAAAATTAATAAAACAGGATTTTTAACATAAATAGCATTCAGTGCAATCTATGACTTCCCTTTGAATGATCAGAAGTTTTGTAGGATCTAACTGGAGTCATCACTGAAATACTTCTGTTTCTGGTTTAAAACTGAAGGTAATGTTACCGTGTTTGGCAAAAAAAGGCATAATAAACACTTGACCTAAGTTTATTGAACAGCAATCCAAGTTGTCACATCTCTTGTATGTATATCAAACAAAGGGTAATAGAGAGGAAACCAGATAAATGAGAATTCATTATCTACAGGATGTAGATGTCACCACTTCATGTGAAGTGGTGACAACTAGTGGTGTGCGTCAGGGATGCCCATTATCCCCACTTCAATTCAACTTCATCATAGGTGTACTGATGGGCTTAAACCTCACTCACTTCAGAGACACAGGGGTTGACCTGCTACCAAGGAATAATCTTGTTGACTTAGAATATGCAGATGATATAGTCCTTCTAGGCGAGGACGCTGGCAAAATGCAGAGTCTTCTAAACATCTTGAGCTGCAATCTACGAAGGTTTGGCATGCGATTAGCTCCCACCAAATGCAAGATGATGTTACAGGACAGGACTACACTGACTCCTAGTTTAGAAATAGGAATTGAATCGGTAGAGCACATTGACCGCTTCACTTATTTGGAAAGTACCATCAGCCAGTGTCAACAGGTTGATCTCTGACGAAATCTCAGCACGAATACAGGGGCTCGTTTCGCATTTGCCAGTTTACGCCGACTCTGGCGTTGACGTGATATCCGACTATCGACCAAAGGGCGGGTGTACTGTTCATCAGTCTCCTCCGTCCTCCTTTATGGCTGTGAGCGAGACCTGGCCATTGAGAGTGGAAGACATGAAAAGGCCAGCTGTCTTTGATCATAGGTGCCCGTGCTCTATCTCCCATGTGAAGTGGTATAATAAGGTGAGCAATATTGAGGCTAGGCGTCGAGTTCTAGGTAAGCAAGGGAAATCAATCGACGAGGTTGTGAAGTCACATCGACTGAGATGGTTAGGATATGTGTTACGTATGCCTAATCATCGCCCTCCTCGACGGACAATGTTAGCTGATATAGGGTTCAGGCTGGAAAAGAGCTAGTGGCGGTCAAACCAAAACATGGTACCAGTTAATGAATTCCACAACAGTTAGTCTAAGCCACGTAGGAAGGTGTAGACTTCCTGACTGGTTAGGGTCCTCAGGACGGTAAA